AAAAAAAAAAAAAAAAAAAAAATTGTATGCTGAAAAAAATCTTGAGAAATGCTTCTTTAAAAGGATTTCCTCTATGCAATCCACATTTCCTGCATTTGGCTGATCTGATTCACTAGACAGTACATTAATACATTACATGATACTGCCAGAGATGATGCTAAGATTAAGCTATTATTCCATTCCCAGGAAAAGAGGGCTTCCTTGTAACTATACACCAGCATCTGATTCTCATAGAAAGTCACTCTACAGTCTAAAGTATTATATAATATCTAGGTTAGGAAGCTAGTCTACTGATAATCATTCTTAATTCAGGAAGATGTAACAGTGAGGCTACCTTCCAGTCAGCACAGGGTTTCTCCACCCCAGCACCCATTGATGTTTTGGGTCAGATAATTCTTTGTTGTAGAAGGCCGTCCCTTGCAATGAGTGGAAGTTAACACCTCCCCAGGGTGGCAACCAAACATGTCTGCAAACATTGCCAAATGTCCCCTGGGGGCAAAAACCGCCCCAGGTTGAAAACCTCTGGTGGAAGGCAGGTCCTGAAAGTAAAGTGACTGTGGCTGGGCGGAGAAACTGAGAGGCCAAATTACCATAAAGACCTGTTTTGTGGACACTTAAATCTATTGGAGAGAATGATAATGAGGCAGCAGCTAAATCTAAAGAATGAGGGAAGGGCCCCAGGGTGCAGCTGAGGACAACTACAAGGAGCAGTATAATTGGATGGCATGATATTCAAAACTGAGTACTTTGAGGGAGAATGAGAAAAGGCAATGAGGGCTAAGAACATGCCCCCCCATGATCACCTCGCCAGGCCTAGTGGTGAGAGATGGTGAATATGAACAATTTATAAAAATCTGAGAAGAATGGGTATTTCTCAGGGCTAGAATTGCAGATAATTTTCTTTTCCCATTTATACTTAACCTATCTTTCCTGATTTTTTTCTTTTTTAGCCAAGAGAATTTCTTACCTTAATTATCAGAAACAAAAAAAAGTAAGGGTATTTTCATGTATTAAAAAAACTACTATTCAAATAGAAATACCATTTGACCCAGGAATTCCACTTCTAGGAATTTACCCTAAGGATGCAGCACTCCAGTTTGAAAAAGACAGATGCACCCCTATGTTTATCGCTGCACTATTTACA